ATAATAATAATAATAATAATAATAATAATAATAATAATAATAATAATGCAGGTACATTTAGAATACAAACAGACAGAAACTGCCCTGTTGGTTTTAAAATCAAGTATCTCTGACACAAATTGTTTCACCAACACAGGAACAAGTCTGAAGATGAGAACATGAATGGCCCGATCCTCCATGAAAACATAAGAAATGTCTTCCAGATCAGCTCTATAATGAAAAATATCCCTCCTTTGACAAGGCTTCACCTCATTAACAAACTTTATAAACTTTACTCTGACAGTTTTTGTGTAATCTGGCTGAGAAACTGACTGGTTCTGACACGGTGAAGGAATCATGTTGACATTATTCCTACAACTCTACAATAAATATGAGAAACTTCAGTCTGAGTTTTAAACTTTACAATTAGAAAAATAATCTACTGAGAGCTTATCAGAGCTCTGATGTTTATGTTAGGCCTGGTAGCGCTTTAATCACGAGAATATAAATACTTCTGTCCAGTTCTGTCTCGTTGATCTGAGCTTCAGACTGTAAATATCCTGTGTTACTTTTACTTTGTTTCACCAGAGTCTGAAGAAATGTTTGCTTTCTTTGTAATGTTCAGGGGTTTTCACAGTACACAGATTGAAACTTGAAAACTGAGAAACTGTTGACAGGTTGATGTTTAAAAGAAATTTCTTTCTTATGTTGTAGAAAAACTTTTCTAGTAAAGGTAAGGTTCAGATTAATCAGCAGGGTCAAAGTTGTGTTACGTTGACAGGAAAAGCATACAGTCAACACACGCAGGCAGAAAGAGTGAAAGACAGCAGACCCCCATACACAGAGGCCTTTTATAGATTTTCCCAGGCAGCCGGGCCGAGCCGGGCCAGGCTCAGCCTCACAGGGGAATAAGCCAGAATAGGTTCCACATGGTTCCTCTGCAACCAGACCGTGCACACAGCCACAAAGGCAAACACTTTCACACAAGGGTCTACACATAAAAGTAGCATACTATGCACATCTATTACAAATGGGCCAACCTGGGCCAGAATCCAGCAGGCCCCCACAAGGGTCTCTGACTGACTGAGAGTCAAAGACATTTCTCAAACTACTGTGGTATGCACAATGCTGCTGGTACACAGTTAAAACAAAAAATAAAATAAAATACAGAACCAGACAAAGCTGAGGAGGTGAATGTGGAGTGTTCACTGAGGGACTGTGGCTTTTTAGATTATAAACCTTCACACAGTGCCATCTGCAACCTCATCCAAAGATTCACCCAAACTTTCATCAAACTGCAAACTTGGGAATATCAAACTAACACAAAAATAAATAGAAAGCTAAAATAAAGCAGTAAAATACTAACAAAAACATACAGGGAGCTCTGGGAGTTTGTTCAGCACTAATTCTTACAGCACTAACTCCTAGTTAAAATCAAGTTTCTCTTGTAAATGAGTCCCCGAGGCTCAAAGGGATTAACCTGCATAAATAAAGGCTGAATGAATGAATGAATGAAAGAATGAATGAATGAATGAATGAATGAATGAAAAAAAGTGTAAAACAGAAGGAAGCATCTCACAGAGCAGAGACTCAAACTTCACTCAATAATCAAAAGAACTGACAAGTTCTCAGTTCTTCCAGCCAGTCATGTGGCCGCATTTTGTGAGGGCAATTTTTGAAAATGGTGACTTTCTTTAGAGTGCACGGCTGCTTGAAAAACGATATGCACCTTGTTCCATCACCAGCATCATACCCACCTCAGACTGGTTTGAACCCACCTTGGCAGGCACCATCACGTTTATAACCTCATCTATTGGAGTACTCTTTGGAAATGAAGATGGACGGATTTGGGCTAGTTTTTTTTTTTTTTAATAATTACTGTTTATCATCGTATTTTTAGACCTGGGCATGTTTTCTGTCAGAGGAGAGCTCCCGTGCACGTGTCAAAATACAATTCTTGTGCTCTTGAGGTCTCGAAATGTCCGCAACTGTAAGGATGGTACCATTTGCTGTTTCTGTTTGTGTCTGTGTTTCCCTAGTGTTTCCTCGTCAGTTTAATTGGTGCCACCTTTGTCTCGTCACAGCTGTTGTAATCACGTCTTATCTTGTCCTTGTATATAAGCCTCCTGTTCTGTGTTGTTCCTCGTCGGGTCGTATTCGTTGGGTCTCTGTGTTCTCCTGTGTTCTCCTGCGTTCTCCTGCGTCTCCCCTGAGCTCTCCTGAGTCCTCCCTGAGTTTCCCTCTGAGCCTTCTGTTGTCACGTAAGTTTTGCTGCCTCGTCAGCGTGTTATTTTGTAAATACACTCCACCATTAAATACTTATTTTTGTAATCTGCCGAGTTGAGTCCTGTCTGCACTACTGGGTTCGTTCCTGTCCAACAAATCCTGACAGCAACAAAATCAGGACAAGTTTGAGACGTACTTAATGACTCTGTAACCGTGTTGAGAGAAATTTTTACCATTAGAGAATATTCAGGGCAGCATGGTGGCGCAGTAGGTAGAGCTGCTGCCTGTCAGTGAGCAGGGTGCCGATTCAAACCCCGGCCGAGGGCCTTTCTGGGTGGAGTTTGCATGTTCTCTCTCTGTGCATGCGTGGGTTTTCTCCGTGTACTCCGGTTTCCTCCCACAGACCAAAAACATGCATGTTAGACTGATTGGTAACTCTAAATTGTCCCTAGGTGTGAGTGAGAGAGTGAATGGTTGTTTGTCTCATTTGTCTCCATGTGTCCCTGTGATGGACTTGCGACCTGTCCAGAGTGTCCCTAACCCCCCTCACATAGCGACTGCTGGATATGGGAACCAGTGACCCCCTGTGACCCAAAAAGGAAGAAGTGGGTAAAGATAATGGATGGATGGATGGAGATTATTCAGAATTTAAGGGACAAGGCTCTATAAATGAAGTAAAACTCATAAATCAGAGCCCATTTAACAAGATTAAAAGTGTCTTGATTTAGGCTCCAAGTCAGTTTCACAACTAAAACAAGCGGCATCATGAAGTTTTGTTCCTCAGTGAGCTTTATCCCTCCAGAAACATCTCTCTCAGTTCATAGATTTTCATCTATCAATGCAAAAAGATCAACACTGTTACTGCTGAAAAAGAACAAATATTACTAGGAAATATCTTTTCAACAACAGAGTTTGTACCAAACATTAAAAGTATTCACAATTCACCACCAATCACTTCAAGGCTGAACACTTTTACTGATTTAATTTGGTCTTTGTAGGCACAAACTAATAAAAACATTAGTTTCATCATTTCCAAAGTGCACATTGCTTCAAAGCAATCCTCAGTCTTAAATCCTTCTGTCTTTAGACATTTTTGCTATAAACACTAACACATAATATGTATATTATAAACGGGCTGATAAAAAAGAGCTGATCCAAACTGAAATTAGAGTTCTGAGAGATCTTTCAGGCCCTAAACTACCTTTAAAAGTACTAAAAATGTGTTCTTAACTTCCCCTACATTGGTTTAGATACAAGCACACATTTTCTTACCAGTCGTTTTCTTTCTTCTTCCATGGTGGTCAAGAGCTGAGAGAACTCTTTTAAAGACTGAGCTGTAAGAAAATGAAATCCATCATTTAAAATCTGTTATCTTTGCTTATACTGTGATTCAGATTCTGTGCAGACACAGTGAAAGGTAGCTGAGAGGACAGAGGTGTTGGTACAGGGACATTTTTGTCTCACCTATATTGATTTCATCATCAGTCTCTGCATCTCCGATACATTCGAACTGGAAGTCCTGCAGGGACTGAGAGAACCGCTGGACAGCAAGAGAAAGACCTAAGAGAAAAACAAGCACAAGTCACATCAAAATACTGTACAACAAACAGTTTGTATAGTTCCACTGTTTGCTGCTGCTGGTTTAACTGGTCTAACATAACACAACGCTTCTATTTCCCTTCAGGCAACATCAATATTCCACCCTTTGATTGACGGGAATAAATTTACAGTCCAGACTTTAATTGCTTTAAAGTCTTTAGATATTTTCCTGTGAGACTCTGGTATTTTGTCCACTGCTGAGGGACGACATGTCATAGTCTGATGTAACTGATCTACCCCACCCTGCAATAAAACAAAACTGTGTGCGTTTCATTTCACACTTCCATTAACACTGCCCTTCAATGCTCTGGCACCATTTCAATCAAGCCACTGCAGTGTTTACAGATTTATTTATTTTTTTTAATGTCGGTTAGTAACAGATTCACTTCAATCACTGCTTATAGAGCAACAAAAAAAAAAACCCAACTTGTTTAATGTATAAAACACAAAGGAACAGAAAATAAATCATCTTACAATGGAAAAATAAATGAAAACTCATTTATTTTATTTCTTACAGATGCTTTGTGTAAAAGTTTTGTTAACCTGATGCAGTGAATGGTCTGTTTTCATCAATGATGCATGCAGAGAAAAAAAAGATGTTTGTATTTTTTATCTATGAGCACTTCTAAGACAGAAACGTGTACTTATCACCAATAAGTCAAAAACACACTGGTTCTTATCAGTGTCTAAAAATTATACAGTCGTGCATTTTAGGGCAGGTTTGTTTGAATTTAATAAAAATCTTCTACGCTGCTCCACTGCAGAAGCTTTTACTAATAATTATTTCTTCTTTTTTTTTTACACTGGAGGACTTGTTCTTGTCAACAATGAGGCTTTCAGTTTCAGCCCAGCCTGGTGAGGAAACGCTCAGCATCAGGTGACTGCAGGTGTTCTCACTGACGTCACCCACCTGCAGTCCCTACAAAGAGTCTGTCAGCTATTGGAGCCAGTGTGCCCGTGAGATCATTATTTTACCACTGTGAGTCCAGATTATATGACTGGAAAGGAGTGTTCCACTTTCTCTTTAGGTCTGTCTGCAGCTGGTTTTAGTTTGAATTCAGCTACGCTTCAGATGGCTTGTATAACAATTATTTAGTAAATTACTACATAAAATGCTTTAAACGTGTTAAACAGTGAGGAGGTCAGCTTATAAAACCCATTTTTAGCAAATTAATTTAAGCTTAAATATGAAAAACTCAATTTATCAGTTATTAGTTTGTTTGACATTGTTGATACGCCGCACACTGGAAGAAAATAAATAATAATCACCTCTTGGCATGAAAGGCAGGCAATCATGTGTACCGTGTATGTTTGTGTGTTCATTTGTCTGTTAGCAAAATATCTAATGAATCACTGGGTTGACTTTAGTGAAACACTTAGAAAGTAATCATTAGATGGTAGATCAACCTTAGAAAACACAAAAATAGCTGTCAGTTTTCCAGATGTTGCGCTAAAATTTGTTGTGGTAGTAGCGGAGAGTGATCGCATCCTCGGAGTGTTTTGACGGTGAGGTGCATTTCCCTCAGGTTAATTATCATGTTTTTAACAGTAAATCTAAAATGGCTGACGTGTTGCTGATCACCTGAACTACTGATGTTTGTTTATTGATGTCACTATCTATGTTTTAGATATGTTTACTCGTTCTTATTTTTACTTCATCACAAGCTAAACTCTAATTTCAGCACATTTTAAAAATATTACAACCTTTGTTTTTAAATAGTTGGAAGCCGACTTAAAAGGAAACAGAGGCAAATTGTGTGTGTTTCTGTGGCCACAATGAAACAAACCTAAAAAGACAACCTAACCTAAACCTAAAAAAAACATGGTCGACTTTTTTTAGAGTAAAATTGAATGAATCAGAACTATTTTTTAAAGTCAGCAGAAAGCTGGCCCAGATGTTCTGGTTTTGGTTTTATTAGCAAACAGAAAATCTGGTCATGCTTCTGAATGATTTCAGTTTGGAAAGACAAACAGAAGGGGACAAGATGGTACGAAGGAAAGAATGTCAGCAACGAGGAGAGAGCAGGAAATGTGATGCTGATTAAAAGCTGTGAGGAAACTACATCTGTTCCGTCAGAGGGGCTGGGTGTTAATGAATAAAAAATAATTTTATTTTAAACTCCTGAGTATCAAGAGATTGATTTCTGAATAAACTGTTTTTGCACCAGTACCAGTGTTATAAATAAATTCAATTCATTTTATTTCTATACTGCCAATTCACAACAGAAGTCATCTCAGGGCACTGAACAGAAACATAAAAAAAAAAAGTTAGTTAACACTTTTTATCTGAAAGTTTTTTTATTTTAATTTTTATCACTTTTAATAAAGACGAAATAAAGTTATCCATCACTCATTATTTATGGCACAAACGTCATTCAATAAAGAATGTAATTAATGACAGTGTTTCCTCTAGTTAACTTGCCATGGCGGGGTGCTCATCTCATCCATGATTTTTGTTGATGGGGAGGGATGGAGACATGTCTGAGCGCAGCTTGTACTAACAGTTTTTGAGTGGGGGCGGGGGGTGTTCAGCATGAGGGAAGAGGCGCCTTTAGCTTTTTAGCTAGAGAGCCTGTATTTCGCGCCGCTAGCTTAGTGCTATGTCAGTGCTGGGTGGTGGGCAAGTTCGGTTTGGTAGTCAGGGTGCTCCGTTCTGTTGACGTGGTGGGGCACCGCGTTTATATAATGGTAGGGGAAACACTGAATGATGATGAATGATGTTTAAAAAGTATTTAAACTAGGGATGCTCTGATCAGGTTTTTGGCTGCCGATCAACGATACTGATCGCGCATGGTGCGGATCATGATACCAACCACCAATATCGATCACCGATACCGATCACATGGATGGCTGTACATTTTTTGATTTAGTTAAGATGAGTGCTACTTGCTATGTGATCTGGAAAATAGGAACAGTAAAATCAACTTAATTTGGACAAAAGCATGTTTTTATTTACCTTTTCCAAGTAAAAAAAATATATATAAAAACTTGCAGGCACAATACAGCAGCTGTTCAGTCAAAAGGACAGCTGAAAAAAATTACCTGCTATCAGTAACAGAATCTTTAACAGATTGAAAACATTAAGGCTCTCAACAGGCTAAA